ATAGTAACTGATTGTATGCAGCAATGTATTGTAAGTAATTAAGGTCTGACGAAGGCATTATATGCCGAAAGCTCACCAATAAAAGTGAAGAGCATAGAGCTTCGAAAAGTACACAAAACGACAAGAAGTCTAAATGAAGCTCAGAGATAGCAGTATTTTAAAAAATTTTGTGATGATTGTGTAGGAGTAATAGTTTCCTATTTGGTTTGATCTGTATAATTTTGATGCCAGTTTTCTGCGTCACACTTCATGTGGGTCACCCTGTAGAGTGAAAGAGGGTTCAGAAATGAAGGATTAATTGCTGAGAGAGAAAAAAACAACGGAAAAATGGTAAGGCTGTCATCATGGTTGTTGTTCCTTGGCGGTACACGAGACTATTGGGCCGTGGAACGAAATGTGTACTCCGAGAATTCCTGCGTCCATGGCATGTTATTCCACATTTAAGAAACTGTAGGAAAGGTTCCCGTACCTAATATTCGTTCCTGCGTAAGAAGACAACCATTACGAAAGAAAAGTGGTCCTTTCTTCGATCATTGAGATACACATTAGGGGGATCCACAAGCACAACTGATTTCATTTCTGCCGATATTGCACTATTTTACACTTACAATTAGGCAAAGAGCTGGCCGATTGGCGCCGTACCAACAAGCCTATTCGAAGGTTCAGCAAGCTAGATCGGAGTAAGCCACTGAATCATCCTAGGACCCACAAATACATCTATCACGTGGTCCCCTTCACAACTAAACCCTCTTTCGTACACTTATGCCTAATCGAGTATCACTACCAAATATTACCTTCAGAGAAACTGAATCTCTCATTGTAAAGCAATTGATCGGTGTCGATAACGGCTGAACTTTCATGAGGAGAGATCGCTGAAAAAAAAGATGCACAGGAAGAGAACGTTTTGGTTAGAAAAGCCTCTACTGACTTATCTTACAATTCTTTGGAGACTCGTTTCAATGGCGTAAATTTGGATTAGCTAATCATTAAAGAGAAAAGGAAATGTCTGGTCACAAGGCATAATGTGGGAAATTGTTTAAGATGAGCCAATAAAGGATAAAAAGCAGTGTAAAGGGCCCATTATTGACAAAAACGCCCACTGATGGGCGATTCAATCAGCTTTTTAAGGGTGGCGGAGATGGGTGGACTATGTTGTGAACACGAGAGTACTGTAACCACCTTTCCTGCACAAAGTTAAGGGAACGAGGAATGACTGAATACCTGAGTTTTCGCAATTTTCATATTATACGATGTCACTTTCTTGCAACAGTTGTCACTAACTTTGTACACACTTGTGCCTTTAGGACAACCAAGAAAGGATTTTAATGGTACCGAAACGGAACGGAGGACCGAAGTTGACAGTAAATACTCGGCCAAGTGATGATAACGGCAAACATTTACTACTATTCAACTCCTTTCTCTAACCCATTTTTCACTCAATCTTTCCTGAAAGACTACGAACCCCACCATCTCACTCTTCAAAACTGCCATTCCCTCTGCAAATCCCATGCCACAGAGTCATCATGCATTTCACATTACACTAATGGGAATGAAAAACTAGTACATTACAGCTTACTCTCCATCTTTGCAAGAAAGAAAATGGGCAGTTTTTGAAGGACACCGCATTAAACTTGCACTACGTGTACATAGCGTAGAGAACAAACTGACTTTCATTTTCCCCGTAAATTTCGTTCCAGTGCTCTGCCCCGTTCCAACCAATCTGGGCCTAGTTGGGGTGTGGGAACGGAATCTGCATCGTCAATCAAAACTCTATCATTGAGTAGCTTAAGAGAACCATGGACCGATATCCGACTAGTCCAACCCTATCTTGCTCATCCCCGTGGTAGTTTAATTGGTGTCAGACTGTCTAAGAGGATACATCGGTAGGCCAAGGCAAACATTTGTGTAGGCCATATAAGCATTCAAAACGCTCCCATATTCCTGAATAGAAGTCAAGGGCCGGGCGCATTCCGAAATGGGATAGATCAACGCCAAGACAAAAAGAATCGGGAGTAAAATGAGAAATGAAGCAGGAAATCGAAAAATCTATGGAACGTACTGCTTAAAGAGATGTTCAAGTACTGCAGCCCAACTCGTACTAAAATATGTGCATCGATTTTTGCGTTCGAAAATGATTTGTAAGCGGAAGATATCGGAGTTTCAGCACGATGCCAGCACGGATGGTATAACGACACTGAAAAAAACCACAGTTCAAGTAAATTCAGTAATAAAAGGTTAGTCAGGTACAGCTTTGACCAGAGTCAAGCACTATCATTCTCGAAAAAGTGACGAGATCCGTTGAGCTAGCCCAGTGCTCAGAGGCCCCAACTCTTTTTTGTGAACTATTCTTTGGACTCATGCCATCCAAAAACTCATAAAAAACGTTTACTCAAATGTAAGGCTCTGGTGACATAGTTCAGAACGCATTACAGTCCAAGTGGTCAGCGGATTTCAAGCGAGTCAGATGCGTGGCTTATCTTGTATCGGCTGATCAAATTACCTATTTCAACGACGGTAGTACAGAGCACTCCAACATTCTCAAGTTCGTACTCAAAGTAAACCATGTCTTTTGTAACCTGCTATAAACTATTTATCTTGAACTAATTCTCTCTGACTCTTCCTTATACTGTACCTCATCACCTTGGGTAATCTCAAATCAAAACCGTCGAAGGAGCTTAAGATGTTTGAGGGCAAAAGGTGCTAACTACACACATCCAACCAGAAAATCGAACTCTTCATCATGAAGCAAGCACTCCATCACTGAGAAATCGGCTTATCGATGACATAGACTTGTTGATAGGGTGACCACTTGGAAGTGAACACTACAACCAACAAGTTTATGAGATAACTAATCAGAAACTCACTGAGAACAATCAAATGAGTATTTGTTTTTAACGGGAAAAGGGCATATGACGCATCCCAAACTTGAGGTTTAACTGCTCCTACCTAATTGAGCATCTTTTCATTCCGAAAACGTATATCTCTCGACCAATCAACGTTTCCCCCAAATACATTCAGACTTGAATCACAACAATGCAATAAGTCCATCTTACCTCAAGAAACTTCCCAATCAGGTAGATCGGCTGCCGTGAGAAAAAATACCAATAAGCCTACGGTCAAATGCGCAGAAGCAATGGGATCAGGCAACTTTTTGATGTGTACATCCACCCTCCAACGGACTCAGAAAAAAAAAACGCTTTCTAAGCCGCTATTCTCTCGGAACGATGACGAAGGATCTACAGATGAGCTCCTTCGCTCCATGGCCATGGAATGATCGAATGCCGTTGCCGTTTTCTCAAGATAGATACCATTGAAAGGGCTTGGGAAGGTGTAGGGGATCTCCGCTGGCATGCTATTCTGAGTTGCCCGTTAAAGAGGCGAATATAAAAAAGGGTAATCTCTTCGATCTTATGGGATGGGACGGTATCCGGCCTTCGCCACAGGGTTCAAGGAGGGATCCTTCAAAGACGTTCCACATGGCGGTGAATCCAAAAAACTGGCCACGGTATGAATTACGTGGTAAAGGTAAGACATCGTGAAGTGAGTCTCACATTGACAGTGATTGATTCTCACATTGCACATACATCAAATAGAGGAATAAAAAGCGCACTAGCACAACCTATCTAGCGCCAACACGTTCTCTGAGATTACTTTACAGCAAAGGAACCCTGGAAAGTAGACTTGGATTACTTGAGAAGGTCACCGAACCGGCTTTTCTGGAAAGTAGCCTGGAAGACGAACTCCTCGAAACTTCTTGAACTTGCTGAAATTAGCATCTGTTCGTTGCAGGAGAAGTCCTAGATGTTTTTGTGGCAAGATCTGCGCTCTAATCAATCGCTGACCGCTGCAAATGTCTTTGTGTGTAACACAGATCCATTTTTCTCCCCCACAGCGTGCGGCACATGGGAGCGTTCATTATGGAACCAAAATGTTCTATCTACAAAAGCCAACAGCTCCCATGGAAGTTATAGAAATTCAACAAAACATTTCAAGCGTCTGAAACGTTCTCAGTTCCGTTCCCCAGGAATGACAGCGAATCGGTGGAATGTTCAATTTAATTCATTAATTCGTTCGGGGAGGAGTAAGGAGAACGATCTAAAGGAACGTCGAATCGATACAGTAATTTGATAAGGTATACTGTATCGAAATTCGTAAACACCTCCATTGGTGAGCTAACAGTTGTGATAATTTAAGGAGAATTTCCACTACTCTTTTCTCCATCAAGCCTATTAGACTCAATTAAAATTGAAAATTTATACGAGTTCCCGAATAAGTTACTTGGAGCATCGGTCGCGACAACCCGAATAGACATATACCATCCATAAGTTGAATCCGTCCCTACATAACTCTCGACGGCGTCGAATTCGCTATCCAGTACGCTATTCAAGTGCGGAAATGGTGCTTCAAACACCAAGCTCGTCACCAAACCCCACACATCGATGTTTTACGGCTAACAGCGGTTGCGATCGAAGGATATTTACGACGATGAATTAAAAAGAAAAAAAAACTTTGCAAAATTATCTGCGTCACTTGAGAATCGGAAAAGGAAAATATCCTTTTTGCCACTGGACTTAGAAAGGTTGCGTTCACGCTTTTCCTCTGATTCAATGATGGCCCTGATTCTGAAGAGCTAATCATACCTTACCGTTCCCGTTAATTTTTACAGTACTCAAAATTTTGACCATAAATCTATACGAATTATTGGGTGGACAAGTTCTAGCAGTTTTCAAGCGGTGACTTACCTAATAAAGTAGCTCCAACGTACATACTGAAAAAGAAGGAGCATGCCGATGCGAAACGTTTCTTACGAACACCGGGCAAAATGATGAGGAACGCAATCGACGGTACAACAAAAATCGCGAATAGCCCGAAGATTTGAGTGTCTGAAAAAAAGCAACGTCAGCACCGGTTCTGATTCGGTTAGCCCGACTTTAACATTGATTAAGTTTGAAATTTGATATCCACTTTCACTACAAGCCCATCGCAGGGGTATGCATATGGTCCCGTGGTTGGTAAGAAATACCGGGTTTGACACAAAGCTCTACTCTTTTGGCAAAGTGCACGAATACAAACCAGACAAGGCGATAGCGTCGAATATTTGGCTCAAGAGGCACTTGCTGTGTAAAAAAGAAACTTGAAAATTGCAATCGTGCCATGGAGATCCAAAAAAAAAGAATCGTGCCATGGAGATCCAAAAAAAAGAGTACTTGGAGGAAGAGAACCCACACAAAGGATCCTCAAACCGGTGCCGTTCTCCCTTAGGTAAACTTTGGCATCAGTCACACTTTCCTTTCTACAAACTCAGGTTTATTTCAAAAAACCGTCTAAGAGGGTTGAACGGTATCTTCCCTTGTTTCAAATCGTTACCGAACCCCATAATTCCTACAAGCATTCACAGCATGCTCAAAAGACTTCACCGATACTAAACAGACGCCAAATACGTGGCGTATTCGAAATATCCCATCGTTTTTTTTTAAATCATGGATACAATAATTGTAATATAAATCGGCGACAAAAATGTGAGACCAGAACATAAAAATTAGAACAACAATGATAAAAAAAATTGTCAGAAAATAAAAAATCAAAATTAAAGAAAAAAAAGAAAATAAAACAAATGAAAGACAATTGTTGATTGGGATGTGCCATGCACTCAACTACCCCAGGGAAACTTTGCTTTGGAAGGAGTTAGTTAACTCCATGACAGAACTGATTCTTTGATCAGTGATTGCCGACAGCGATGAACATTCCATATGAATTGAAAGCCAAACAAATTCAGGGGGATCTCGATCGTATCAGAAAAAGGCAAAAGCGAGGGGCTAGTAGGCATTCACCGCTTCTGCTCAAAATGGGCAATCAAATAAAATTCCAGGAGATAGAAACTTACCAAGAATTACAGGTGTACGATTCTCTCCATAAAATGTTGGCGCTCCATATTCTCGAAATGAACTGAACCATCCGAGCATATCGCATATGCTATACGAAAAGAAAGATGATTGAAAAATCAATATTGAAAATCGATATAATCAATCAATAATCGCGAAAAATGGATGAGTGAACTGCAAAAAGAAGATGAGCTGGAAATTGAAAGCAACTCGAATCAGATCTGCCGCTAGTGGGAGCCCGCTTGGCAGCACGCTCGATCCATCGGCGCGTCGCCAGAATCAGAGGTCAGGAGTGTGTAATATAATGGATGGTATGAGAAAATAATATGAGTAAATGAATAGCTCAGCGGACGGGAACGCCATTTACACCGATTTAATATCGAGAACAGAGCTGCAAAGAACCCCTATAGACCGGTTCGACAGTGCGTCACTTTGAGGATGGGTTTGAAAGTACAATTTGAAAAAGGAACTCGTACGTTTTGTACAATCATTAGGGAGAGCGAACTAAACAGGGCAGCAACTGAAGAAGTCCATATGTATGACGAGAGAAAGAAAGAAAGGAGCAGAGGACAATGAAGAATGGCTGGCAGTTGAATCGATCAGCATTGAGAAGAATCAGGCATAAGGAAAGCAACGGGGAGCTATGATTACGACTTGTAGATGTGATTAGATGGTGGCGTCCAACAGACAATGCATTAGAGTCCCAATTAGGAGGCATTAATGGACACTTTTCGACTTCCAGACAAGTCTATGGTGTACGAAGGAACCCTGTTAACGATCGTCTTTATGAAGCTCATAAGGGCGCCCGGATGGGCTGCGAGCTATGGAAGGAGCACACCAGCTGCCTACGTGGTGGATACGACATTACACCATGTTCTGTGTAATGCGTATATAAGACAAGTGGGAAGGTTGCGCAAAAAATGGGTTCAGAAGTTCTAGACGAGGTACACGAATGTTTTCTTTCGCGTATACGAATGGGGCAAAATCCGGTTGTAACGGTGGGAATGGGTGGCGTGGCGTTAACGATTGGTCTCTAAGGGCATTAAGCGGAGCTGAAGAATCGCTACAAAAAAGCAAATCACCACGTTCCAAAAAAGGATTCGATTGGAAACATGAATGAGGAGGAAAGACCAGATACGAACGTGATCTGTATGCAAATGTGTTATGCTGACATAGCGTCCAAAGTTTTATAGGAACAAGGGTGTGCCTCCTTCCTCTCTTCTCTCAAATTAGAAACTTTTTTTTTAAATTTGATGGCTTTTAAGCTTCTCAAAGCTTCAGCAACCCAAGCAATGGTTATGGGCACAGAAAGCCATTCTAAAAAAGGTAAAGTGATTCTATTCCTAAAAGCAAAGTTGGTATGAACTAAACGGAGACGAAGATGTTGGAGGTCAATTGGTCCATGGGTCTCACATCTGACGATGACATCAATTCAGTTGACCATCCCACCACACCATTTCTCTTGCTTCCAAGCCCAAAAAGCTACAGTATCCATCATTACCAACTCCTCTCAACCCACTCCGGTAATGGAATTCTCAAAGTACCACACTTGACCTTGCTCTGAGATCGATCTTTAGGTTTCGTTGATCTGGAGGAACGAGAACTTTAATGGAAACGGCGGCGGCATTCTTTGTGTCATTGCAAAAAGCAAAAACATCTCTACGATTATGGGAAGAATCCTGAAGTGCTTTGCATTGCAAAAGACCAATCAACTTCGAGCCTTTAATCATGGCCAGTGTAAAAACGAATCTATAATTACATGGCGAAGTTTCTAAGGAATGAACTCATTAGTCATGATGAGTCACGATAGTGGGCGCCACGCACACGTGCGATCCTTTTCTTTTATTCAATCAAAGGGAGGGCGTCAAATTTTAGACACTGAGTCACCGGTTGAGTTTTCTAAATTTGAATTCGCCCATCACCACATTAACGATCTACTTTTTGGTAATGATAGATTACTGGTGGACAATCAGATATTTAGTAATAGTTGTTCATTCCCCGAACTTAAACGCCTCCTACATGCCCCCTTTGGCAGCACAGGCCACGTTCAAAGTGTTTCTGCAAGTTCCAATTAGGATGCATGGCGGGCCTTCAAAGATAGTGCATGGACCGCTATCGGGTTTAAAAACGACCTACGTAGGGCATAAAAAGGGCTCCAAGATGTCTTTGTCGTATGCTGAACCCATAGGTGGTTGTGATTCAACGGCCTTTCAGAAGCTGCGACATTCACAATGTAGTAGCCATGTTAAAAATTCAAACTGCTGATCAACGAGAACAACAAAATGTAAATAACGTAATAATAGCAACAAAAACAACAACAAAAACGTCAACAACAAAACAGCAAAATGGCATCAGTTGTAAAGAATGATAACATGAAGCTCTCAAAGTCGAAGCATTGCATCCAATCCCAACCATGGCAAAATTGATGCTCTCAGTAGCCGGTTTTTTACGCAATAGCACAAGACTGACTAATTATCTATTCCATACCATGACCGTCGTCATGACCCCATACAGTCCTCACTTTAATCCTTTGTGAGACTTTTTTCCCGAAATACGAGGAATTGCGCCATGCCCCTAACATCTTTACAATATTCTGCACCATCGCTTTGAAAAAATTCCTTCAAACAGGTACCTCAAATGTGCCTACCTCAACTGCGCTGTGAACTGTGGGCATACTTTTATAAGGCGATTATAATAGAATCAAAGAAAATCTGACTCGTGAGAATTCAAGAATGGATGCTTCTTGGATTAAACCCCAATTAGGTTGCAGCAGTTATTTTATGTGATACCTTCTGTTTCAATCAAGTCTGAGCATCACCTTTAGTACCTACTTTGAAGCAAATGATACCTGGCTCCCTTTAATGAATACTGAGCCTCGTACCATGTTCCCCAACAGCGACGTCTCCCCGGTACACCCTCCAGAACACTGGCTTACTGACCTTAGCATCCCTATCATTTCGCTGCTCGACTAGGAAAAATGAGAAAAGGAAAATGCCGTGAACACCGGCACTGTGAGAAAGGAGAAAGAAATCTTGTCTGGGAATGCCCTCATACTAAGCGAACAGAAACTGTACAAACCAAAAAAAGAAATAAAAAGGTGCTTGAACGGATGTTCTGTAATAGCCCGTGACCATCTGGGACTCGTTTGAGCGGTCTATTTGCCGATCTTTTCACGGTTACCGTTCGCTCTCAGGCACAGCGCTCAGCACTTATCCTACGGAAAGTAATAAATGGCAAGACACACACTGCTTTTTCCTTTTGAATGCCTACACGAAATTCCTATGCTCGCCTTCGTGCAGTTGATATTCGTCTAGGCCAACGGAGCCTTCTCATTTTTCGGAGTCGGTCATTTGGCTGCATACCCGTCGGGAAGGATACAAGCACTGACTTGAATAAGGTGGACACGGCAAGTCATTAGATAGGCCAAATACGTATCGAATACGTCATGACGACTTTGAATAAAATTCGAATGCGGGGCGCATCCCAAAAATATATTGATTAACGTCTAGGGCTTTGAACCTATCCTTCATCCATCCGGACTCTGGCCTTAGAGCCAGTACCGAGTGAGCTGTTTCTCAATACTTGCTACAGCTCTCACTGGGGCCTAGCTAGGCGCAGTTTTACTCTGTCCAACGTATGGCACCGATGTCTTCGAACGCGATGTCCCAGACAGGAAATGCAATGTAAGTTCACTGGCCGATCGGTTTTGCCTAGTCGCTTCACATAGCAGTTCCAATTTATGGCCTTTATTGTAAAGAACGGTTTCACTTTTGTGAGAAAGAACTTCAGTGTGAACAACAAGACCAGCTCCTATAAGAAGTACAGCGATAGACTTTTTACCTCAAAAGTCTTTCATACTACTGCAATCTCTGGAAGGTAACTCGCAAACATTCCGACAATCATTCGCCCGTTAATCAATCACGGACGGTTCTTCAAACTAGCTCGCCCAGTTCGACTTTGCTAGAAGTTTTTTCGAAGGACGTGGCAAATGCGTACGCTTTCAATGACGTACTTATGTGACAGGATTTAAATCTTAGCCACGGTGTCCATTAATAGGGTAAAGAAGTAGGAATTGAGATGTGGGCGACAAGCAGTTCTTCTGCTTCGCACTGCAAATTCGGTTCCTTTCGATGAGGTTCTAAAAGCATCTGACGTAGGCAAAAAGGCTAACAAAGTCTGAAACCAAACTGTCTTCTGAAGGTTCCAATCTGGGGGCGCAAACCTGTTTTCGGGGGAGAGGTCTCGAATTCATATGGTTGCCTGGAATAACTCCGGGAATAAGTGATGAACACATGCAATTTTGCGTACGCACCAGCTAATCCTACGTTGAAATTACTATCCTCCCATCAAATACACGTAAATCTTACGCGGTAGGTCACCCAGACACTGCTGGGTAACCAATGCTGAGGCACAGTGATGCCAGGTATGTACTCACATCATTATAAAAGTTGTTGGGGGAAAACCACGGGTTATCTACCAGGAAAAAAAAATGTCCGGGTTGCTCACTTAAAGTGAGGAAAGAAGGGACTATTCCTGAACGCAAAGCAGAAATAACCAGGAAAAAACTCAGTCTGACTCCTCAACGGCTTAGTTTCGGAGTCAGGAGTGAGAGTTAGAAGGGAAAGAGAAAATGGCAAATTCGCATTCGGGCTCGATATCCTTTGCAGGTGTTGGGTCAAAATTAGAGTTTAAACTGACAGAGAAAATCCTCAATGCCCTTAACTTAATTTGACGAGAGATCTACGAGAAAACCTCAATGGTGTTAAGAAGTGGCATCGCCAGAAAGCCATCAGTTGTGCACATTCAAATGAAATCTTTATGAAAAAATTTAAAAAGGAACAGTCGAAGTGAAGAGCGCTACGTTCTTTTCCTTTTCGTCTCTCTCTATGCCAGCCATTCGTCATCTTCTTCTCAAAGACTGCCATAGTGTTATCAATAAGAGAGTAAATGCTCTAAGAGTTGAGGAAAGTTTACTTCGGACCGGCCATTTTGACGGGGTCTGCACTATCGATAACCATTCTTCGGAACCTTTCAAAGGCACAGTCACAATGAGAAAGAATCATGAGATATCCATCCGGGAT